GTAACATAACCCTCAATAATGCTTTAGACGGTAAATTCAAAATTGGTGAGTTATAGTATAGCAGGTGTTTTGTTTTCAATAAGCGCATAGCCCCAGGGGCAATCTGGATAGACTCTCGCCTCTAGTGACTGGGGTCAACGTCAGGGTGGTGTCGTGCGATCATGGTCGCTAACTAAATCCAGATAACACGGGGACACTGAGGGCATGCGTAATTAAGAACAGCCACAAAACTCACCAAAAACACAACTGCTAGTCAAGTAAGTAAAAACACGGACCAAGAAACTGGGAAACTGGTTATGGAGCGAACTGTGGCTCTAAGCGGCGGCTCAGTAAGGGCAAATACTGGGTCACGTGGACGAGACGCAGGGAGCGAAGTAGCCAGTCCCACAAAGCTCAGCTATGATATCCTGGTGGTCAAGGAAGATGCCCCTTCCAAGCCCACTGGGGTTAGTAGCGAGCTAAGTGAAACAGTATTAACAGGTCTGTGGTTCAATTAAGGCCTACTGTTACGACAGTAGGCCTCCGTCCCTTGGCCTTAGGTGTCCTGGTTCCTTTGGGTACCCCCCTCCCCCCCCCTCCCCCCTCCGCCCTGTACCCCTTCCGTACCCCCCCCACTACATGTATGTGGATGCACATACATGTGTCTCCTTATTCCCTATAACATGTGTGTGGATGCACCGTAATGCATGTGTACATGATGACATGGTGTACTTATGTAGCCTAGTGACTATTGTGCTGTGCCATGCTGTACGTGCAAATCATACATTTTTTATTTGTTTATTTTTTTTAACTTAGTTATTTTTTTTTTTTTTAATAGTCCTTTTTTACTTTATGGATGCACGTACGATGTGATGCCAGGTACATGGCATTGGTACTTATGTATGCCTGTGTTATTGTGCATGTGCATGTTGGTAGTGATTCACATACATGTTTTTATTTTTTTATTTTGTAACTTTAGTCTTTTTGGTTTTTGTTTCTGTAGTCCTTTGTTACATTGTATGTGGATGCACGTACCATGTGCCATGGTTACATGGACATGGTGTAACTTTATGTATGCTCTGTGTACTGTGTCATATGCATGTTGTACGGCATTCCTACATGTTTATTTTTTATTTTTTTAACATTAGTTTTTTTATTATATGCCTTTTTACATGTATGTGGACTGCAAGTACATTGTGCATGTACGGACATGGGTGTACTTATGTATGCTGTGTATTGTGCATGTGCATTGGTACGTGCATGTTCACATACATGTGTTTTTTTTTAACTTAGTTTTTTTTTATAGTCCTTTTTTTACATGTATGTGGATGCACGTACATGTGCATGTGTACATGGACATGGGTGTACTTATGTATGCCTGTGTACTTGTGCATGTGCATGTGTACGTGCATTCACATACATGTTTTTATTTTTTTTTTAACTTAGTTTTTTATAGTCCTTTTTTTTACATGTCACGTGCATTCACCATACAGTATTTCTTTTCTTTTTCTTTTTTTTTTCCTTTCTCTTCCCCTTTCTCTTTCCTATCTTCCCCCACCCTTCCCGCTTCGCTGTGCTTCTGATGTGCTTTCGAGTGTTTGTGTTGTCGCGGGCTCTACAATGATAAAAAAGCCCACAATAAGACAATAACACCATTCTTTCCAGATAAAAATGGAGAAAAATAACGGCGCCAAGAAGCCCGAAATAATCAAGATCGATGTGAAGAAATTCTTTTCCACTGCTCGAATCATGTAAGTTCCTTATGATAAATAGGAGGAGATGAAATTAACTCTTCATATTTCAGGAATGGACACATTACAATACAGAGGGCGGAATTGGAAAGAATGCTATGCACCGACCGTGTCAGGGATCTGGAGCGCAGGCTACAAGCTCTGGAAAAGGAAAGAGAAAAAGACAGTGACATAGAAGAAGTGGATCAAGACGAAGAGGCGCAAGAACCTCCGCAGAAGAAGACAAAGAAAGTGGCTAAGAAGGCCGCTTAATCATATGAAACCCGTGACATGTATGTAATGTAACAAATATATGTCTGTATGTATGTAACATGTGAAAATAAATATGTTGCAGTAAAGCTTGTGCTGTTCGTCAGATCTGTCACTCGGCTAAATATTTCAGAAATTAAGTGTATGCCCATCCATAATTTCAGGTCTCTTTAAGAGTGTACACTACAACTCTGGAATGTGAGCACAGACAGAATACGATGCTACCGAGGTAGTTCTGCAGCTCCTGGGTTTGGTTCCTTTTTATTTCTTTTCCTGGGTTGGGCTCCCCTTGTCCCCAAATCTTAGCAGAAACCAACGAAGCAGGAACGCGCACACTCAAGTAATGAAATAAATAAATTGGACGCGTGAAACACGAAACGCGTTCAATATATATAGGCAATGGAGAAGAACACAACTTCTTTGCTTCTTCTCCTTGTTTTCTTTTCCTTTGTTTTCCTTTTCTTTGTTTTCTTTTCTTTGTTTTGTTTTCTTTGTTTTCTTTTCTTTGTTTTGTTTTCTTTGTTTTCCTTTCTTTGTTTTCTTTGGTTCCTCTTCCTTGTTCTCTTTCTTTGTTTTCCTTTTCTTTGTTTTCTTTTCTTTGTTTTGTTTTCTTTGTTCTCTTTTCTTTGTTTTGTTTTCTTTGTTTTCTTTTCTTTGTTTTGTTTTCTTTGTTTTCCTTTCTTTGTTTTGTTTTCCTTGTTTTCCTTTCTTTGTTTTCTTTGTTTGCTTTCCTTGTTTTCCTTTCTTTTCCTCTCTTTGTTTTGTTTTCTTTGTTTTCTTTTCTTTGTTTTGTTTTCCCTGTTTTCTTTTCCTTTGTTTTCTCTCTTTCCCTCCTTTTTCTTTCCTTTTTTCCAACCTTTTTTTCCAAATTTTTCAATAACCGATGAGAAAGCTGGACACAATGAACAAATGTGGACAACATTTAAAGCCGAACACAAACATGCTACAAGCTGTTGTGTGAAGAGGCGCTGAATGAAGCAACTCCGCCTTCATGCGAGTGACAGGTTGCCGTAAGTCCTCGCAAAGCATCTAGCATGCGATGAGGCAGTAATGGGAATCGTTCACAGCGGCTGGTTCTCTGTGAACAAGTCACAAACGTGGAAATGGAGGCTGAGCCAATGAAGTCCGACACAGCACAGCTAACGTGGTACTCGAGAAACTAGGGTATACTCCGTCAGTCTGCTGGTTAGACTCCCTGGAGGTCTGTGTCCTGATGGGCGCAAGTGGATAGGACTCACAACTCAGCTGCTACCAAACAAACTCCAAAGAATGGAGTGGTTATACTTCCATGGTCGGATGGGCTGATAATCGCGCCAGCCCAGAACTTTGCTCTACGGAACAAAGCGGCCAATGAAGATAACCTTAGAGAGACTCAGATTGCTACCTTCCACGTGGTGTCTCTCGGCGCAGAATATGCGGCCAAAAGCAATCAGCGATCAGAATGCTCACAAAGCGAACTTAAGGACGGGTTCCAGCCTCCGGCGCCCGTCCACGGAGCCCACTCCCGGCTTCAGCTGGGAGTCAGGCCACCCAACTGCCCTCTTTAGGGCAAGTGGCCGGGAACGAGCCTACAGAGCTGAACGAGCCAAGCGCTCAAAGCCAAGTATCGTATCGTAGAAAGGACGCTCCTTGGTCAAGCGAAGAGCAGAACAGATTAGTCACCCTAGTGCACCAACACAGGATGGCAACTGGACGCGTGCAGTGGGTGGCCCTTGAAAATGCATGGGCAGCGCAGAGGAAGCACGATGATCCAGTGAGAACAAGGGTGGCCTTGAAGGCCACCTACACGAGACTCGTCAAAGCAAACGGACGAGCACTAGAAGAAGTCTCCCAGCAAACTGAGATTACAAGCACTCAGGGGTCCGAGGAGACAATCTCATTAGCTGGGCCGGAGACCAGCTTCCCAAGTGAAGATGCTGCCACCGTAGGGACAAGTATCCCTGTTAGCTCACAAGCAAGTGTAGCTGTAACATCCCAGGAAACCCTGCCTCAGCGAACGGGGAACTACTGGAGTGACAGCGAACTAAGGAAACTTATGAGCCTGGCCCAGCAGCATCAAGTAAGAGGGCGAGTGCGTTGGGACGACCTGAGCTCTGCTTGGGAAAGCTCGCGAAGCACTTTTGACCCTCCAAGGAGTAAAGAAGCCCTAAGAGGCACCTATGCAAGGCTCGTCAAAGGCGATCCTTGACACAAGAGACGGGAGGTACAGCAGAGAGGGTGAACGTAGAAACGGCCTCTGATCGAGCACCTCCTGATGACATGACAGAGCTAACAGAACAAACGCCTAGCCCCCCAAACTTGTCGGTCCCTACCAACGAGAGGGAGGTTCAAGAGACTCCTAGTGAGAACCCTGAACCTCATCAGGTTACTGTACAAGGTAGTGCGACTGAGGAAACACAACATGAAGAAGAGGTTAACGCCGATAACCCCGATGTTGAGCCACGAAGAACGCGGGCGAGACGGAACCGATCTCCGACGCGAACTAGTTTGCCAGAGCCCGAGCACTCAGCTCAGGATCTCAGAAGGCAAAGGCGCAAAGGCGTGCTCTGGAGTGCCGATGAACTGACAAAGCTCCAAAACCTGGTCGAAAGACACAGAGTAGCGAGCGGGCGCATTATGTGGGCTGATGTGCTTAGGGCCATGGAACAGCTCACGAACAAGTAGCGACCCACGTAGAACTGAAGCGGCCCTTAAGGCAGCTTACACAAACCTTGCCAGAAGAACTGAGCGAGGAACAATGCGAAGTGTCCCCACAGAAGACACCAATGAGACACTGGGAGAAAGAAACCAGACCTAGTCTCACAGAAGCTGGCCCGGCGACCAAGACCAGCAGTCACAAACTGAGCCTGACGAGCTTATCCACAGTCAACCATCTAGTCCTGAAGGAGGCTCGGATACGAGTCTAACCGGAAGGGCTCTCAAGGATAAGCTTAGGGAGCTATTCGATGCCTACTATAAAAAGGCAAGAGAATCCCATGAAAGGCAACCAATAAGGAGGCCCAAAGGAGAATACCCGAGGGCATGCTCCAGTTCGCTAACGAGATTATTCTCGAGAAACTGGAGCGACTCAACTCCACCAATAAACGAACTCTAACAGCCTTAAACGCTGCAGTGTATGCCGTAGCCAAAGCCATAACAACGGTCTTGCTAGAAGGCGAAGCAGAGAAAACGGGGTTAATGTACCAGAAGCTGAGAGAATCTAAAGCGCTGAGGAGCTCCCTTGTGGGCATGATCTCAACGCTATCGCACGAACTCAGCAGAAGGGCTAGAAACCGTGGTGCTCCCACCGAGCAATATCTGCAAATCGCCAGAATGCAAAGAGTTTCAACGACCACAGAGGTCCAGCGACTCCTGGCAAGATTCAAGGATGAGCTGAAAATTGTAAACTCTGAAGTGAGATTGAAAGAGACTGCCCTAAAGCGCCAAAAAGAACGACAGAGGGGTTACCCAGCTGTTGCAAGGGAGCCACGAGAAAGGGAATCTGATGTACCAGTTGCGGAGGTGCGTGAGCATTGGAAAACCATCATTGGAGAACCGCAGCCGTTCTACTTATCAGATGACCTAAGATCGTGGGCCAACACGGTGCCAAGAGACAGAAACTCGGCTAACATGGACCCTGTCTGAGGAAACGTGGACGAGTATATTCGCCAAGATGAAACCTTGGAAAGCAACAGGGCCAGATGGCATACAGGGGTTCTGGTGGAAAAAGATACCTGAAGCCAAAAAGCGGCTGGTGGCATGGTGCCAAGAAGCACTGTGTAAGCCACGTATCATACCAAGATGGTTATGCAGAGGAAAGATCGTTTTGATCCCAAAAGGAAACTCTGAGGCCCGCGGGCCCGGAGATTACCGCCCGATAGCATGTTTGAATACATGCTATAAAGTTCTAACTGCCATGATTGCGAAGCAGATACTCCAGAGCGCAGGTGATGTGCTCCCTCCGGAGCAGGTAGCCTTGCGCAAAGGGATCTGGGGCTGCACTCATGCGCATATTTTGGATCAAACGGTATGTAAAGACGCCTTGAGGCGCAAAAATATACTGCATACCTTATGGGTAGATATGACCAAAGCCTTTGACTCGGTGTCCCATGGCGCCATTAAGTGGATATTGGCCAGAGCTGGAGTACCATACCCCACTAGGAGATTGCTCTCAGCTATAATGGCCAAGCAAAGCGTTCAATATTGTGGGACCCACAACGGCAAGATGGTCAAGAGTGAACCGCTAGAGGTCAAGAAGGGCGTGATGCAGGGTGACACACTCAGTCCGCTCTTATTCTGCATGGCAATCACCCCAATATCGGCGTGGCTGAGAAATAACATCAGCCCGTACAGGACATCAACTGGGGCGATGATGATGCTAGAAGGACCACTAGAGATCAACCATCTTTTCTATATGGATGATCTGAAGGTTTACTCACCCAGATGGGATGATATAGTGAAAGCCCAAGAGGGCATCCAGAAAGTGGCTGGAGAGTTAGGATTCGAATGAATCCCAGCAAATGTGCTGTGAACTCATTGAACCAGCCCCAGCTAGGAATTTCATCACCCGGGATGGAAGACATACCAATCTTGGGTTCTAGTTCGCTCTATAAATACTTAGGAGCGGAACAAAACGCCCTAATAAATATGGAACAACTATGGGCCCGCACAATAGAAAAGGCCTTAGCTGCAGCAAAAAGGATTATGCTCAGCGATCTTGCGGTTCGCCAAAAGGTCAACGGGTATAACCAAGTTGTGATCCCAAGACTCAAATATGCCATCTCGTGCATAATTTATGGCACAGGAAAATTCGGCACAATGAGGAAACAAGCTAGGGCGTTTGATGAGTCGATTCGCAAGCTGCTGGCAGAATCGCGGATGCGGTTTAACCACAGCTGCACACCAAGACTCTATGTTAACAAAGAAGAAGGGGGACTCGGATTGAAATCGGCAGAGGAGGAAATGGAACATACCGTGGTATACACATGGTGTTACCTCTCCTCAAGGCCTGAATTCGAAATCCCTTATAGTCTATGCGAAAGCCTACGACGCAGCAATAAAAGATCACTGACATCGGACTTCCGAGCCGTAATGGCAGAAAACAGACTTGAGAATGAAGTCAAACGTCTTGCCCAAGCCAGCATTCAAGTCAAAGACCGCACGTTCGCGACGCCTACGGAGGCTGCGCGAGCTATTTCGACCCTGGTTCACGAACGATGGGCTCGAACGCGAATGCATGAATGGAGGCAAAGGGCAGTGGCGAGCAGAGTGATCAGTGAGGACGATGGGCATCCACACGTCTGTCTAAAGGACTCCTTCTTGTGGTCCCAGACGGGATGGGTCTCCTCTGAAGTCCTCAGAAATGTGTGGGCTGCACAAGAGGCTTCGCTGCCGACCAAAGGTAGTGCCCCAGGTCAAGTCAATCTGGGCAAACAGCAATCAGCTATGCCGTATGGGTTGCAATGCCAAAGGAAACGGCAGAACACATAGTGTCCGCATGTAAGCCACTGGCGAACGAACATCATGGTTGAACGACATGATGAGGTTGCCAGGGTGATATACTACTCGCTGAAGAAGAAATACGGTCTCACATCCAGGAACACTAACACACATGTACCACATGTGTTGGAGGGGGATCACGTAACCCTACACTGGAATGATCGTATTGTGACGAGAGAGCACTTGCGGCACGACAGGCCTGACATAGTAGTCAAGGACCTGAAAGAAAAGATTATATGGATCATTGAGATTTCAGTCTCGTGGTTCACAAGGATCGCTCAGCAAGAGCTGAAAAAGATCCGTAAATATGGAATGAATAGCTGCCTTCCGGAAGGAACGGAACCAGAGGATTTCTTCCCTGGTCCGAACCTAAAGGCGGCACTCCAAGCACAACACAGCATGAGGGTAGAAGTCGTACCTATCGTAATAGGCACGTGTGGCGAATGCACCACGGACCTACGTAGGTATGTAAGACTGCTTAAGTTGCCTGACAGCACGAAAGCAGTCATGGAGAAAATGCAAAGATGTGCTGTACTCGGAACAAACAGAATTATAAAATGCCACATGTCCAACGAAGACATGTAGGCAAACAAAAGAAACGAACTAGCTGTGGTGCAAAGGGAAAGGAACAAACCTTTAGCCTACGACACTCAGCACACGGAACGTTCGTTTTCTATCCATGCGCGCAGAAGGCCACAACGGCATTAAAAAGGGTCGGATCTGCGGTTAAACGTGATCGTGGAGGATTCCAGGTTGCCTCGAGGCAATCGGTAGGAAGCGGCCCAGTGGGTTGAGGAATGGGAGGGCAATCAGAAAAACCTGACGCGCATGAATGGATTAACGAGATTCCCACTGTCCCTAACTACTATCTAGCGAAACCACAGCCAAGGGAACGGGCTTGGCAAAAATAGCGGGGAAAGAAGACCCTGTTGAGCTTGACTCTAGTTTGACATTGTGAAGAGTCATGAGAGGTGTAGCATAGGT